CCTCTTCGTCCTACAAGTACTTCTCAAGTAATACCAGAAGTTACTTTTATACTCCATACCAATACTTGGCAAATTGGCTCAAAGCCATACCAGGTTGCCTATTCTCCACCTTCAACTCACTCTCTCAAACAACTTCCAACCCGCACTCTCTGTACTCTTTATCGCTGGCACTAATCACAAGATCCCTCTCCCTAACTAAAGATTAAATCTGTCAATTTAGGATGTCATGAGTGTAATCTCACTCTATGCTGTAAATGTTTTTCCCTTTTTCATATAACCGATTGCCTACCTAATTAGAGTTTCCTTGGTTTTTGATATCATGTGTTGTTGACCATTTCTGTATAAGGCTAGTGTTCAACATTTCAAACAGGGCTGGAATGTCTCAGCAGCTAAGGTGATAGTTTATATTGAGAAAACAAAAAACTACAAAACCTAAAATTCATTTTTCTTGGCATAGAAACCTAGTCTTGGCACATGGGTTGCACATATTCACAAGTATGATAACACTTTTTTTTTTTCAGCCTGGTGTACATTTTGGATGTCACAAACCATCCTCATACTTTCTTTAATAAAAGGGAAGTGAAAATAGCTACTATGGGTGATGGAGATTCTAAAGATGTAGATGACCGAAACCAGAATCAGTTGTACCTCCAATATCTTCACTTTACTCATACTGTTTGTACTGAGTTACGATTTTTTAATAAGAATTTAAAGAATACTAGGGTTCCTAGTAATGAGGACATTATAGCAGCTGGTCTCTCTGAGGCATACACAATTGCAAATGCAAAACACCTTACACCTAATACTAGCTACTACCACTTTGAATTTTCCAAGTACTAGTTAGAGATAAGCAACTAATTCAAAACTTTAATACTTAGGCTCCTTCAATTACAATATCCACCAAGCTCATCTCATAGTTTTATAATTTGTTTTTAGAGCTAGTAATAGAATCCAGAGATAAGAAGACCAGTACCTTCCTACTCAGGCCATTGAGGAGAGGAGAGTCCAACTCTAAGTATCTAATTTATCATCAAAACAGTTACACTATAAACTAGAATCTAAATTGTTCTTCCACGAAATCCCTGGGGCGAATCCTAATTGGGATCATCCGATAATTCAGTGAGTGGGATTAGACTCGAATTTCCTGCAAGCGCAGGATAAGGTCATGCGCAAGTGATTATGGGTAAAGGGTGGTGGGTGTCAAGTTCGTGTCCTTGAGGTAAGTTACAGTTATTCACGAGACTTTGGCGGAATTGTTGAAGCCAACCCTGGAACCCGTTAGGGCTATATATTACGGTAGAGATATAGTATAGTATCATAGTATGATAAATGAGAGGTAATACCACACTTTAAAGGCCAAATATGATGTCAAATCCCTGGTTCCAGCGTTGTTTTTAACAGATATCTGGAATACCAGTACTTGCGCTGCTAAAGAATATTATACATGGGTTTTCTGAAGAATACGAGTAAGTGAGGCTAACACCTCGCGGGGGGGGAGGAAACCGGCTCTGGAATGGTTACCATGGGCAGTCACAACCAATTCTTGGGTGATAAATTTATCTGTCTTCAGGGTACGAGTAAGGTGGGCGTGACGGGGGAGTTTCTGTATCCTATGAAATACTTCAGTGCCTGATTAGTAATACATTTCTGCGAATGAGGTCATAGCATCAGCCACATACTGCCAGCCGCATCAAAAGAGCAGCCAGAGGAGGAAAAAAAAGGAAGGAAAAAAACTCACCTTCTGAAGAGCCTCCCTAAATTTACAGAGGAAAAAAAATCCACGCGCTATCATACATAGTGTCTCTCTTCCCAAATTTGTTTCCCTCTTCCAAAACCCCCACTAAATGTTCCAGCAACAGCAATCATAACCACTCCCCCTCCACTCTTCCTACATCGCTAACCCCCCCCAAATTCTCTCCCTCCTTCTACATGCACGCCCACATACCACGGTCCGCCTATTCACCCTCACTACCACTAGTCCTCCGACGTTCGTTCCTGGTACCTCAATGCCAGCAGCTCCCCTTCTCTTCTGCCCGGCGACAAAGTGTAGTCTCCCGGAGGAGCTATACCAGCACCCTCCCACCAATTTCCCGGCAACGACCAATAGCGATGATGATGGAAGCGGGGTGCTCAAGGCCGCGGGCAACTAGCTCGAGGATGAGCTCGAGCATTATAGAGGCGTTATTTGGGAGACGGGTCAAGAAGGGATTGGAAAGGGAGGCGGGGGTTAGTTCGAGATATTTGGACTCCGGGACTGAAGATGCTATTCTGGGGCGGAGCTTGCTATATAAGAACCACAATGATGAATTCTTAAGATGCACGGAGTTTGATCGGGAAGGTGGAATTTCTTTTCCTACCTTTTTTTTTTTTTTTTTGGGAGGTGCTGACTAGGTTGTAGGAAATGTCACGGTGGTGTCTGGGGAGTTTAAGAAGAATGAGCTGTGTGCTAAGGTTGGACTGTCTTTTTTGGTGAAGAGGTCAGAGAGCTAAATTGGGCGTGGGGGACCGATAGCACGGATTAATGCCTCGAGATCTCCGGAAGCTTTGGGTACCCAGTATAATCGTACCGCATATCCTCGTCCGGAAAAACTCAATTCTTGTCAATCTATTACATATCCGGGCGCTGATCAAAGCGGACACAATCTTGTTATTTGACGTCTATGGCTCGACCGACTCTTACACACAATCGGTCTTTATGTATGACCTCGAGGGGAAACTACGGCAAGGATCAAAGGCTATGGGTGGCCTCCCATACGAAATGCGGGCACTGGAAGCGATCTTGATCTCCGTCACGGCTGCCCTAGAAGCTGAAATGAAAGTTTTGCAGGAGCTTGTTATCACCTTACTTGGGGAACTAGAAGAAGATATTGATAGAGACAAATTACGGCTATTGCTGATCTACTCGAAGAAGTTGTCAACATTCGAACAGAAAGCTAAATTAATTAGAGATGCTATCGAGGAGATCCTAGAAGCGGATGACGACCTAGCAGACATGTACTTGACAGAAAAGATGTTGGGGAAGACCCGGCCGACAGAGGAGCACACGGAGATTGAGATGCTACTTGAATCGTATCATAAGATATGTGATGAGATTGTTCAAATTTCAAGTAATTTAGTCTCTAGCATTCGGAATACCGAGGAAATGTAACCAATATATCCCCCACCCACGAAGAGGGATTTGGCTAACAATCTAAAGTGTCAATATCATCCTCGATGCAAACCGTAACTCCCTCATGCTCCTCGACCTCAAATTCTCCATCGGAACCCTGGGAATTGGTTCGGGGACCTTCATAGCCGGTCTCTACGGCATGAATCTCAAAAACTTTATCGAAGATTCTGATCTAGCCTTCTGGGGCGTTTCTGGCTGGGCATTCATCTTCTCAGCGATAATATGCTCTTATGGGCTCCACAAACTCCGCCGAACCCAACGCCTAACAATGTGGGGCGAAAGCGGGGCGAAAGAGGGCAAACGTGGTTGGCTGAGTCTTGGGAATAAAAAGACGGGTGGTAGCGCAGCCGCGAAAGCCAAATTAGCAGGCCGATTCGATGCTCTTCAGAAACGGCGGTTCGGCAACATTGCTGAGAGGAACCCGAGCAGTTTTCCGCCTTTGCAGTTGGTTCCGGATAAGAAAAAGTAATTCATGAGAAGGTGTTGTTTCATGTACAATTATGGCCTTGTTTGGTAATTCTTTTTGTTTTCTGTTTCTTCTCGATCTCTATATACGGTTGGGGCCTCTCATGGGGCTAGCCTAGGCGTTTTTTGCTATTTTTTTTCCTTTTTGTTTGGTGGGCTCTTCTGTTTTTTTGAGCACGGTAATTTCTCGCTCTCCCAGAAATAGGTTTTTTCTCCTCTCTATCTTCAATATTTTCTTTCATCGATCTTTGGCGCAGAAGGGATAGACACGTGACTCATTGTAGAAAATGTAAAGTATATCGAATCACGACCTAGGCATTACTGTGCAAGTATCAAGCAAGCATTAAGTAGAACCACCAATTTTGCGGGCAGGTTCCAATGTACAAGAATGCCCCCTCGTGATTCTTTCATCCTTTCACCCAGTCTCACGCAATTCCAACTTTTATGATAGCAATATGATATCGTACGAGAAAAAGGTGGACACGCCGACAAATTTCTCTCACCATTACAATAGAAGGGTAAAACATATTCGAGTGATTCATAGTGATCACATGGATGGGTCAGACCTGCGTCAAACCCTCAACATGGCCCCCCCTATCCACGTTAGGCAAAACATCTTCCTCTGGATGATAAATGGTATCATTATGATACCCCGGAATTCTTATCGTATCGTACGACAAAACCCAAAACGTTGACCGACTGCTCGAATTGGCCGAGCGAGTTTCAACCCCGATCCATTTCGGCAACGCATAATCCACAGAGCATAAAGAGCAGTACGAAAACTACCACCTGCCGGGTAAATCTCGACACTCCAACCCACCCCATATTATCCCTTCTCATTCACCTTGCTCAACCTCCCCCTCAACCCTTCTAAAAAAAACCTTTCCCGTACTGTACAACACTCCACTTAAAGAAGACACCGTACCGGTACTGCACCAAAACTAAGGTTCTCACGAGATGCTGATCCCGGCCATCTGGCATATCGGTACTTATTCCTCGCTTAACTCTGCCACCCCGTGGTCTCCCGCAGGGCATGTACAGTATTGAAGTACCGTTGCCTCGATTAGGTTGGGACTTTAGCGCCTCTGAAAGAATTCCCCCTGTGGGAGGGGGCACAGTAACGGCGCAGTACTCGTACGGTGTGAGGTGGCGCTCTCTGTGGGGTACTTATACTCGAGTAAATAGGATAGGGAAGCTGGGTATCGGCAATAGTAGCGCATAAGCCAGGTATTTGCATGAGTATCATAATAGGCATGTTTCGGGGGGGACGGGCGTGTAGTCAGAAACCTTGGATGTATACTACTTATTTATATTAAGCTTATCCCATTTCTCTCCTTCTCCCTCTCTCCTACTTTCCTCCTTTACCACCGTTTCCTGCTAGCGGATTTTGTTTTTTTTGTTTCTGACGGTATTATCGCTGAGCGGCCGTTTCCTTCATTCCTTCCTTCCTTCTCGTTCCTTCTGTGAATATATAGTTTACCACGAGCTGGGCTCCTTCTCAATCCCCCCTAATGAAGCTCACCCTCATAACCGCGGGCCTATTCGCCTCTTCTTCTATCCTTACGGCAAGCGCAAGCCCGCACAACCGCCGGCGCGGACCATCGGGACGGGAAATAAGCCACCACGCCGGGACCGTCAGCGAGATAAGCAATAGCAACAACGACGGAACGAGTATATCTAAAGGCTCAGAAGCTCTCAGCAATGCCGCCGTGGCAGCACTCACCATGAAAGATGTCGCAGTATTGGCTTTCCCGACGGACGTCGCAGCGGAACCGACGACCACAGTCACGTCAACTGTGACTGCCACTGCCACCGCCACTCCTACTGCTACACCTGCCTCTGTGAAGCGGGGGGTGCAATACCTGGGCAGTGGTTATCGTGGGCGCGGAAGGGCGGGCGCTCGCTCGGAGGAAGGAGAGGTGGATATGCTAGCTGCACTGCTCAATCATTCTTTCGAGCACGAGCCTTTACGACTTGGCGGGGAGTGCTCCCCAGGGCAGAAGAAGAAAAAGGGGTGCGCAGGGAATAGTGTTGTTGAGTGCGGGAGCGAGGGGGTTTGGGAGCTTGTTGCGGATTGCACTATTCCCGGGTTGGATCTTGTGTGTCGGGCTGTGAGGGAGCGGGATATTTGGAAGGGGGATTGGGCGGTCAATGTTATTTGTTTGCAGAGGTGAGGATTCTAACGCGGGATTTTTTTTTCTGGATAGGCGAAGAGTGCTGACTGATGGGTAGTGATCTTGTGCAGTAAGGGGAAGTTTTCGTTGCTAGGATGAGAGGATTATGAGAGGAATGGGAGTGGATCATATTCTGTCACTCTCTGAAGAGTGGAAAGACAATGTCGTTATATCACATAATTTCATGTTCTGCTGTGTATATTGACCACGATACTAGTTAGTTTGGGAAGGGTATTATGTGCAACATTGATAGTTTGGGAAGGACTAGTTTAAGATACCCAGCAGGGTTTTGGTCGTTATCTAATCCAAAACCTTACTATCCCATGGTTTTTACGGTACTCGCCTTTTGGCATTGAGCATTGCGGTGACCCTAGAGGTAATCGGATAGTAGGATTTCTCGAAGCAGCCGTCTAGGACGGCGGCCAAAGATTCCCAGTAGACTAGCCAGAAGCTTCAGTCGCATGCTTGAGGAAAGCGCATATCGCATTTGAAAGATACAAAAGAAAAATCAAATCATTTCCTTCGTTTGACATTTGTCATTCCACGCTGCCAGATTTTCGAGTGTGATATGAGGTACGATATCATAGAAATTCTTCTGCTCCAGCATCGAATTGTGTTGCCGGTATTATTTCCGTAGAGCCAGCAGCTGCCCATGAGAGGTGAGCGCAGCAGACATGTCCGACCGACCTTGCCGAGTCAGCGATGAACTCAGCATTGTTGAGGCTTGTGTCGAGCGAACTTTACAACAATACCTGTACAGCAAAGTACAGATATATGTACATATGATACCCCCGAAAGCATAATGACTAACCTACCGGATACGAAATCCAACAGTACTCCACATGAACAGAAGCATACCCCGGAAAGCTCTCGTGTATATCCCGGCAAAAGTCAGGGCTCACATCGCACTAACTTATACCGGTATCATACCCCCCACACAAAGAGTGGAAAAACACTAGAAATGTGATGTCTTGGGACCCGACTAAACTTTTGTGCAACAAGGGCAGGTTTTCCAGGAAGTTGGCCTTGCGAACCCTTAGACTTGTGACCCCACTGACACTTGTCCGGGGGCTTTCACGTTCCCTTCTTTCCAACTTGTCGGTGTCATACCACGCGGGTATTTTGTGTCAAGTTGTGATATGATACTAATAGTGAAGATGTCTATTGACCATTAGTTCACAATTGACTATGGGCCCGAGTATCGATTAGTGATTTTATCGGACGATGGTGACTAGGTTAGCTTCAGCCAAGGTGAAGGTATGATAGTAACGGTTGTATCTCTGAAATAATTGGGAATCACGCTAAGAGGTTAAATTATGGTGAGGCGCCTGCAAAAAAGCAAAATACAAGTGACTCTTCAGATGAGACAAAAACACAGACCTCTGCTTTTGACTACATCTCATCAAACTAAAAGAATAAGGCAAGCTGTTAGGTGGAGACAACCTGTAAAGACTCAGAGTTGTCTAGGCCAACCAAGATTCATTTCTGTAGATGGAGATTGTCTAGGAAGGCTCAAAATGTATACTTGTTTCGTTTATGACTACTAAGAGTAAAGTAAAGTAGGTAAAGTAGAATAGAATTGTGAAACAATATTATATTGTTAAGGTCTCTTCTCTGTTGCTTGATTATGTCTAAAAGCTTGAGAGACACTTCAATATTTATATTCTGCATCTGAGTGTCTGCGGACTATGTCTATCTATTATACAACTATGTACCTCTCTGGTTATAACTTGCAACTCTGGGTATTCTTCAAAGGTGTGAACACCTGGAGACCCTGAAAATCACTATACCCTCTTCAGTAATTATAGTATTGCTAACTAGGAACTATACTGTTCCCAATAGTAATTATCCGATCTTCAGAGTCATTAGACTTAAGGCCTAGTTTCCAAGTTGAACTGAGTTGGCCCCAATTGTCTCCCTCATCAATAAAATGATCAGTTTCATCTGTAGGTTGTATCTGGGCAAGTAGTAGTAATTTCCATCTTCCTATGTCGTCTGAGTTTAAATCTCTATAACTCCGAATTCAACCAACCGATATTTTCTGAATAACTTCCTACTAGTTAGCAGAAAGCTATTGTACTAGATTGTTACATAATCTCTTAGTCGGCAATACTTGGTTGCTCTGGGAAACAGGATTTCAATCGCTGTTAATATTGGGAACCATTCCTGCAACCACAATGCATAGCAGAGTACAGTTGTAACACTCCATAAAGACCACCGGCTTCTGTAGTAGTATTCCTTGGTATTCTAAACTCTTCTAGTTATCATAGAGTAAATGCGAATATATTTGTTTCTCCTTGAGATCGTTTAATATTCGATACTATATCTTTATGCGAAAATGTCCTGTTACCTACAGACTTTACCAAAGTTGTCACAACTTTGAAGCCTAGTAGCTCCCTGAGTGGTTGACGGATTTACTCTGTTCAACTTCCTAGACTTAACCGATGGTCCTCTCCCATATATCCTGTGGACAGAATCCAGTCGAATGGATGGCAGTAATGTATAATATATTATTCTCACACCTTTAGTTCTCTGGCCATTTAATCACAGGACGCAACTAATATAAATATGTATGATGACGTGTGGCCCCATAAAGGGGCTGGAGAGGGGTGTTGAAGACTAGAGATTCTGATTCTAAGTAAGGTTACTCTACTTAGGATGGTTTCCTGGATATCAGATTTTCGGTACTCCTAACACAAGCGCAGGAAGAAGAAGAAAAAATAAGTATGTAGAATAGAAATAATAAAATCAGTGAAGGGGAGAAAGGAAAGTGTCAAATCTCAGATATTGTAATCAAAATACCTCAAAAGACCACCAGATGAATAAAGACCCAGCCAATTCTTAAGCCACTTCCAGTAAGTAGATTCTATGCTAGAATAAAGATAAAAACTGGGCCAGTTCAGAAGAGCCTTTCAGAAAGACTTCAAGCACTGCCAAAACCTATTGATAACCCTATTGATTATATAGTATTAGCTATAAACTTCATGTACTTTCTTTTTGAAAAATACATTTGATACCAATTAATCCAACAAAATTCTGAAATCCAACCTAAACTGAGGTAATTGAGCACTTCAAAATCATAAAAAAAGCAACCTTTATCACTGGAGAAAGGAAGTGGAGGAGGGAAAATTCAAGAAACTACAAAAGGGTCAGCATAGAGCAGTTGGGAGAGGGAGGAAAAGAAAGTGGATAGCAATAGAGTATGAGCTATACAATCAATTTGAAGTCTCACAAGTAAGGGGAGAAATAGTAAGGAGAGGATAGTTTTATAGGGTCAGCAGGAAAATTTTCTAGAAAGCTAATAGGGATGAGCCACTTACTAACTTTCAGTTCTCCAATAGGTAGTTTTGTGGATTTCTTTACTGGCATTGAATCTCCTTAAAAGTAGTTACCAATAAATCAAGTAAGCTATTAAGTAATTTTAGTGAAGCCATATTGAATTGACTTCAATTCAATTGATGAAATTTACAGATTAGGAGGAATGATAGTAGGGAGTTAGGAGACTTGCCTGCTGATATTGGGCACTATTATTTAGCTAATATCTGCAACATGGACCAAATTTCTTTGTCCTTTAAGTATCTCGAAGGGCAAACATACAATAGTATTGGAGAGTACACTATTTGGGTCCAGGAATGTTAGTCAGGTTGGGATAAACATCAGGGTATAATACAACTTATATTATTTGCAGATGGTATCCCACAGGTTAAATCTCTGAACTTTTTTCAAGGGCAAAAGGTTAGCTCAGTAATTATCAATAAAACAGGAGAGTATGACCTACATGTCGTAGTCAAGTTCAATCCAAAGGCCTATGTTAATGAGGAGAACTTTCTTAAATGACTCAATAAGTAGTTAGTACCTGTCGTCAATAGTCAGCCTACACTTCTTGTCTTAAACCTCTTTAGAGCTTACAAAATACCAGTGGTTCTCAATATCTTCCTCACTAATAATATTACTATTAGCTTAATACCTGCAGGCTGTTCCTCATTGGTACAGTCCCTAGATATTAGTATTAATTGTCCCTATAAAGATATATTAAAGGTGTTATAAACTTACTTTTCCTAGTTTTTTAATGTAAAAAAAAAAAAATCTAATAATTTCAGAACCTAGCTAATATTTCAATAGGAAGTTTTAGAGAAAAAGTTAGAAGATATTGAAAGAGAGAAGGAAGAAATTCTTACTGTCGAAGGTCAGTTGCAGGGAAGTATGGTAGGGAGACAGAGGATTCTCACTACTTGGGTTGTTAGAGAAACTGTTAGGAGAACCAGAATCAGATACCCAGGAAACTATCCTAAGTAGAGTAACCTTACTTGGAATCAGAATCTCTAGTCTCCAACACCTCCCTCCAGCTCCTTTACAGGGCCCACTTGTTATGATATATATCTACTGTATCTTAGCTGTATCCAGTGACTATAACAACAAAGAATTGAAAGTATTAAAATAACACCATAATAATAGCTTAATGGAAGTATCATGCGACATCTTTTCAGAGATCATGTGTTCAACTCCTGTTGTTATCAAAGTTATTTCTGGTATTAAGTTATTTTCTACAAATACCAGTGATAACAACAAGGTTCCCTGTACAACAACCTCCTACCTCCAACCTACGATTTTTAATTCTTTCCTATAAAAATGGTTCCCCCCAACACAAGGGAAGTCACTGGATAGAA